GATCCAGGTTGTTTTTTCTGACACAGTTTTACTTTATTATAAAGAAAATCTGGTAATTTTAGCATATAATTTATCTTTTTAAGCTATTCTTTTGTAAGCAGGAGGTTTCAATTTCTGTCAGTTGGCTATTTTTATCACGTCCAATGAGAACATAAGAGTGATACAAATAACGTTTTTTTTTTGTTGGTTTTTTTCGGACTGTATTAATTTTGAGTAAAACGTTAATGAAATTCAGCATTAATTAGTATTTGTTTCCAGTTCACCCGCAGGGATATATATAGGAAGGGAAGGATAGGAAATCATCGTAAAAAAGATTGATAAATAACACTAAAGTAGTTTTAAATATATTAATTTATCTGTTTTTGGTTGACAAGGAAGCAAAATTACAGTATTATAATCCCAAATATAATGTCATCTTGGTACATAAATTGTATGAATTTGTAAATATACAAATTAGGGAACAATGGTTGAGATTGTCCGGCCCTTGAATCTCTGCAAATCCGCGGTTGCCACATCCCCGGCAGGTTGGAGATGTCAAATCATCACCTTAAACATCTCGAACTTTCCACCCAAGATCTCAGTCCCCCCACGCCTTGTTCTCCACGACTCCATTAATCTATACTCATTGGCTAATCAGCACATCAACTGTCCAAACTGCGAAGTCGGTATTGATTTATGAACGGCTCCGTAGTCGTCGCGAGTGTTTCGAACTCAAGAGACAATTTCTTTCTACGTATAGTCCAGCCAAAACTTTGAAGTTAGCACTTCATCCAGAACATGATCATAGTGATGCTCTGGGGTCTCTACTTCAACTGGAATTTCAATTAGTTTGCATCGTAACATCTAGCAGCGTTTAAGAACCACAAAGTTATAAAACATTCTCTAAGTAGATCCATGTTAGGTATACGGATAATAATTTAGCCAGCTTAAACACAAAACACATATTAGAGTAGAGACATTCACCGTAGTTATATTCTATGCTGTCAAAACATCCATATGTGAGAAACACACATATAAACGATATACAAAATAATAAAAATAGTTACTTTAGTGTTGTTTCTCTATAAGAGATCCCAATTCTTCGTACTTTTTTTTATCTATTATCTTACTAGTAGTTCAAATAGTCATTAGACTGAGAGATCATAGTTCACATGCATGCAACTCATTACGAAAATTCAAAACAGTGCTATAAAATTCTCTGAAAGCCATATATTTCTCACATGCATATAAAGCATAAGATTCATGCTTAGGCATACTACATTGTCAAAATGAAGTACGATTTGTCTCATTAAATTTTCTAATTCAAATTTCTTCCCTCATTAGTATTGAAATAAAAGAAATGTGCATATACAAAATTGACGCCATTCATGGCAAATGATCTTATGAACGAAAAATCATCAAATGACATATAAGAAAGACACAAAATCTTCATTGCATATTTAAGAATTAAGAACCTCGCACTTGTAAATTCATATATACTCTTTTAAACAAATTACATAATAAATTTCCCAATTGCATGTTGTCTGCCGTTTTCTAAATTGTAGTTAGGATAAATTATATGACTGCAAAATCCAAACTAAGAAAAGAGAAAAAATCATCTTATTTCTTATAGAAGTCACAGGTACAAACAGGTAAAAATTAACAAAAAAGTTTAAATTCCTCAATGAAGAACACCATGTATAAGAGGGGGAAACAATCTTTTTTCTATTAGAGGAATCATCCGTTTTTATAGAGAAAGAGTTTCTGTAAGAGAGTATAAAAAAGATGCTATTGTTAAGCTAAATCAAGAACTTAAAAACTTCCAAGTATAGATAGGATATTTAGAGAATCACCTATAATTGATGAACCTAGCCCTTAACTTTAAGGCTATGCCATCCTAAGGTGCTGTTAAATAAAATGATCTTATCTTATCAACGTCCATAAATGAAAAATCATAAATCGAACTTCCAAATCAGAAAAATTTGATACTATCATATAACTTTGTATTAGCTAAGTTCACGAGTTGGTGATAAGCGGACTCGAACCGCTGACATCCATCACAGGATAAATTACCGCCTACCATAGAGGCCAACGATAGACAATAACTCCCCCCAAATATAGCTTACAACTTTTATCGTATTGTGCTCTCCAAAGAACAATTTTTTTCAAAATCTCAAAAAGTGTCGAGTTAGAATTCCATTCTAAATAATGATTCTTGTGGTTTTAGATGATCCAGCTACATCCAAACAAACAGTTTTCTTATCCTTTGAAACTCCTTCAGAATCCCAATATGTATCCAGTATAACTAAAAATATTTGTTCTTTATATTTAAATGTATTATAAATTTTCAAATAAAATTTATATAAAAAGATCACTATATAATATAATTTAACATTCAATACCGAAATTTAACAAGAAAGTATCAAAATTATGCCACAATTGAGACTAATGCAAACAACGTAATGAAATTTAATTATGAAGTTGTTTACATGATTTTTTTTAAAGCAAACTAATTATACTGTAAATGACATTGTCACCAAATTTAATAATGCTATCATAAAAATTTATATATTTCTAAACTATAACCAATTGATTTAATATTAATATGAAGATACATAATCTTTTCGTGCTATGTTCTATGTAATTAGATAAAATTAATTTTATTATTATGAAAATCTTCTCTAGATTAATTAAATCTAATTTTATAGAGACTTTTAAGCAACATTCGCCATGTACTTGTTTTTCTTGTTATCCGGCAAGATTTATAAATTATTTCAATTAAATTAACTATAAGTTTCTAAATAAATTTTAAATAATTTCTAAAATTATTCTAAATATATTTTTAATTTAAATAAGAGAATTTGTGTGTAGTATTATAATTAGAATTGTTATATAAAATTGATATAATAAATTATAAATTCTATTGAAATCAATGAAATTTAAAATAAATCAGAAGAAAAATTTTATATTTATCAGAGGCACAACCTTTATGTAATTGGACGTGGCACGTCTATATGCCTCCACGTCAGATAATATATTTGCCGCTTCTTCAAACTATTTCCGGTTTCCGTTAAAGAACACGAACAAAGAAATTAACGACGTTGGAAAGTAGAATGACCATAATGCCCCTAAGGAGTAATGCTATTAACAAAACTGATCGTTTCTTCTTTGAATTCGAGCGGGACGACCTGCAACTAACACTGAACAAACTCCAGTCAGTTAAAAACCCCAACACAAAACCCCTTCTCCTCCTCTCTCTTCGTTAAAAGAATTCAAGAATTACGCCATTGGAGGAGAAAGGAAAAGCTCCAGTCTTTTGCCTTCAGCAATGTCCATCCCTATTATTGAAACTTGTAGGAAGAGAAAGAGGAGGCCGAAGATATTTGGGTTTCACAAGTTTGCATTACCCGGGTACCCAGTAAGCCTCACGGGTCCTTTCCGCGACAATGTGCGGATTTTCCTTGAAGAATGTGCAGAGCCTGAAGACTATTACGTGGGAGGAATGCCCATCTGGTGTACTCTTCTGGTTCAGGAGAACAAAAAGCTTTGCTCTTCCTCTTTACACCATTGA